TCTTTTAATTATCAAAAAAACATATACTGTGTCATTGATCGATTTTATATGAAACCTGATCAATTCCATCACAGTTAAAATCGTTCTGGGCAGAAAAATCCTATCGCATGAAAATAAGCAAAATTATACGATTATTATGTGTATGGCACCTTGAACAATCTTTAATCCAATTATTTAAAACTGCAAAATGATAATTTACACCTCATTGTGTGTGTAAATTATCATTAAAAAGCTGGGTGTGATTGGAGGAGAGATGATGTCACATCCCCACCCTCTCCTCTTCCAATCACAGAATGTCTTTAATTTTTTTAATACAAGACATTTTGTGAATAGACGCTATTGAGGAACTGACTGGAGCGATGTACAGCTCAGGACGCATCACTCCCTTTCTTCAGTGCCCAGAAGCTGGGTGTTCTGTGCGGGGGACAGCGTGACAATCGCATCTTACGATTTCATGCAGCATGTTTGCATTTTATCACAACGCAAAGCCCTGTTCATCACACCCGCATTGTGGTGTGAATGGGACACATAGAAAGCAATTGTTTTCAATGTATCCTTGTGATGACCTGCATTGATCCGGTGCGGTGCAACGCAGGTCCCCGCTGTATGTGTGAACTGGCCCTTAGTGGAACTTGAAGACAGGTCTGTGTGCAATGTGCTGCTAGCATAATGCCAGTGAAAAGGAATTGTTTGCATGTGTGTATAATTGTTTCTTCTGTTGAGGTGTTTCTTCTGTATTTTAACCTTCCCCCCAGGATAGCAAGCAACTGAGCTGCAAGTTTGAAAATGACTTGCTAAACTATTGCCGACTTGCCAAGCTTCACAATTTTGTTGCACAATTACAGCAAGTCTGTGTTGCAAGTCTCCAGATCAACGTGCTTTGTAAAAGTGCTGTACACTTGCAGAGCTCTTGCTAAGACCCGCAGGACTCTTGCTGTAGACTTGCCAAAGCAAATTTGCTACAAATTCAAAAAAGTGTCAACTAGAACTTGTGCTGCAAGTGTTCTGCAAGTCTACAACTTGCCAGGAATGTGTGCAGCAAGTTAAGGTGCCCATACACCTTACAATTATCTGCAGATTTTCTGTGGTCAGATGGAAAAGGTGCAACAGATTGGCCCAGGTGGAGATTCCTCCATCCACACAGTTTAGCGTAGATGGAGGAATCTGTTGCACCTTTTCCATCTGACAACAGAAAATCTGCAGATATTTGTAAGGTGTATGGCCAGCTTCAGAAAGAATTACAATTTAACCCTCCCACACCTTTGTGGCAAGTTATCCTTGCTATCTGGGCGACAGATATGCACCATTTTGATAGTAATAGTTACACATAGAATTTGCATGTTTTTTTTCCACTAGTCGTTGCACTTTATGTCTAGAGATACCTGGTTACGGCATAAAACTTTTAGGAATTATTACCACAATTCTTATCATCTTCCTTAGCTATAGTAGCAACATTGGTTCACTTTTGGGGTTTTTTTAGGCTTTTTTTCCCCATTTGTTTCCAGTTGATAACCATGCCAGTAACACATTTCCTGTCCACTGGTGATTACATTCACACACTGGAATATATACACTGAGTGGCCAGATTTTTATGACCACCCCATCAGTACTTCATTGGGCCATGAGATGACTCCACGAGATGACTTTGTTGGGCCGCCTCGTGACTCCACGAGATGTTGAAAGGTGATGCGAGGAATCTGACACTGCACTGTTGCCCTTCTGTTGTCTTGTACCAGTCTTGCCACTCTCCGTTCTGTCCTAACATTGACTAGTCGCTGGCGGCCACAATTTGCACGTTCAGACCCAGATTTTCGACTGACAGTCCAGTCTTTAAACACTTTAACAACAGCTGCTCCTGAACATTTAACTAATTCTGCTGTTTTGCTGATACTCGCTCCATGGCTCCGAGTGCCAACAATCATCCCACGTTCAAAGGCTGTTAAATCGCATTGTTTACCCATATCTTCAGAAAAAATCACTTCTACTGTCGTGGTAAACAACCTGCTTCCCTATTTATAATGGTCTGGCCCTCTAGCAACTTCAGCGCGAAATTATAGCTAATTTGCCTACAAACGGGTGGTCATAATAATCTGGCCACTCAGTGTATATGGTGGAGAAGCTTTGTCCTTATCTCCATAACATAGAGGGGACCTGTTCTGTAGTAAATACTGAACAGGGCAGAGCTTGGGTTTCAGTGCAGCACAGAGGCATTTACAAGCTCAAAGGACTGGCAGGATCAGCATCTATTGAACAGATATATTAAAATGCTTTATGTGGTATATTTACCAGACCAAAAGGAAGCACATAAGAGACGTCCATGCACTTCAAAGAAAACCTTTGCTATATAGACATAGTATTGCTAAGTTTTGCACAAATTTCCATGGCGGGCAACTAACTTTCTGCTCAAGTTTTGTAATCCTTATTCCCAAACATAGGAATCACTGATGTTGATTTAAACTATATCCATACGGGGCCCTCTGCAGTGTGTGATTTGTAAATCTTCCACCCAAGGTATAGCTGGGAGAATGCCATTCTCACTGCACTACCGACACTGGATGGCTATTAATTACTTGGTTCCCTTTCACTACCAAATTACCACTATTCATTTTCACATCTGTGTGACCAGATAAAACCATATAGCGCCCCGAATAAATATTTTCATGTTAATAAGGGTCACTCTATATCCCTGTTGTCCAACGTATACCTTGTACTAATTTCTGTAATATTATCAGGTCTCCTCAACCAGTAATCAGCATTTATTCTGCATTTGTCCTTACTCGGACCTAATCACTGAGTAACCTGGAACAGTACGAGGAGAATATTCGCATTATGTGCCCTGTGACATTGAGAAAGTCTCTCCTGATATTGTACCAAGCTAATGAGATTAGACCAAAGTGCTCTCTGTAACACCACAGTTGTGCCACAAGAACTGCCACATGGCTCAACATATTTGTTTAGGTATCTTTTCTTTTTTCTTTGAAAAATAATGACTCTTGCTATAGAAATATCAGTTGTTGGGAGTACATACAGTATGTGGGAGCATTGTTTGGAAACAGGACTGAAAAAGCAGTAATCCCTATCAGTGTCATGTTATTATGTGCCCTCTAAAGCTGGCTATACACTGCTTAGATTTTCATAAATGTTTTGAGCAAGTAACCAACCTCCATGTTTGGTGGTCATGCCCTAAATTAGAGTCCTTCTGGTCTCAAGTGGTTCATTCCATCTCATGTATTACAAATATACCTGTTCAACTTGACCCACTGGTTTGCCTGATGCACTGTTCCATAACACCGATCCATCGCTATAAGTGATTTCTGATTCTGCATATGCTTGACGCAGCGAAATTCCTCATCCCAAAACACTGGAATTCTCCGGTACTTCCCTTGGTCAAAGAATGGTTTCTTCATCTGGACCATATGGGGAAGAATTGAAAGACTCATTATATGATCGCTCCACTAAATTTGAAGTGACAGGGCAACCTTGGCTCAAGTTTAAGGAAACACTAATTTACATGCAAAATGTATATTAATACCTTGATATTGGGTTCGCAGCCTTGGTAGGCACTCTCCTATCTCCAATACCTTCTCCTGTATTGTAGCCCCCCCCTAAATCCTGGAATGTTTTTATTGTTTCATTGTTTGTGTACGGAAACAAAAAAACTAAACTAACTAACTTTAACCCACTAAAAGGCATAGGGTCATACTCACCCAATCCTCTGCGCAGGTAGCACTCCTTCCAGCCTGTCTCCTCTACCACTGCAGAGATCCTTTGTCCCTTGCCGTCCCCACGTCCTATACACTGATGTCTCGTGGAATCCTAGACCGCTGTGGAGGAAGTGGCAAGACTCTCCAGGGACCAGTCTAAGAGCCAGCTGATTTGGATGTTTGGGTAAAGCTGGCCATAGACCTATAGATTAGATTATCTGCAGATTTTCTATGGTCAGATGGAAAACTCCATCTACGCTCAACTGTGTGGATGGAGGAATCTCCCACTGGGCCAAGCTTCAGTATCTTGCTAGTCGGCCCCGCTGGCTCTCAAAATACCTGAACAGTCTGATTGGATGCAGGCATTGGTCAGGTATTTTGAGAGCCAGCGGGGCCGGCTAGCAAGATACTGAAGCTTGGCCCAGTGGGAGATTCCTCCATCCACACAGTTTAGCGTAGATGGAGAAATCTGTTGCACTTTTTCCATCAGACCATAGAAAATCTGCAGATAATCTATAGGTGTATGGCCAGCTGTACAATAACTTCAGCGAGGCTTCAGAGCCCGGGGAAGCAGGGAGTCGGCTCAGCAGTTCAGGTGAGTATAAGCTTTTTTTAACCCTAGGCAAAAAGGAGTTGACCCTTGGAATGCAGGGGTAGCCCGAGTGCAAGGGTTATTAAAATGTCTGCTTTAAAGTCCTGTTTGGCACCACATGGAGCCTACTAAGTACCTGCAGGGTCATTTTGCTGTGCTGTGACTCCAAATAAACATTTAATACAGGGTGCTTCCATGATATGTTGTTTACTGACCATACTGGGCTTTCTAATGAGAAAGCTCAGTAGTTGCTGCTTACTTTCCAAATGTCTCTGTAACTTCAGTTATATAGCCCTGAACCCTATGAGCAGGGAGAGCTTGGCGGTGTTCCTTCATGCACCCATTTAGTTACATGTATATTCTAAATAGCTGAATACATTATACCATATTCTTCGCAAAATAATTTCCCATATATAACAATTAAAAATACTCCAGAACATATGTAAAAAAAACATGTTTACTCTCCTGTTCAAACAAAAATAAAAAGAATTTGAACATTTTATTTTCTCTAATGGGTTTTTACCACAGGTAAGTGTTATGTGTGACTTATGGAAATGTATTATATTAGTGTCTAGGTTGGACTTCAGGTTGCATGGAAATACCAAACATAATGGAGAAAAGTGAAAAAAAATCTAACCTCCTGTGTCAAGATTTCCGCGAATGCTATGTTTTAATCTTTGGTTGTGTATTTTGTTTTTTCACAGTTGTACTCGCTCAATGATTACAAACCTCCCATCTCCAAGGCCAAAATGACACAGATCACCAAGTCTGCAATTAAAGGCATAAAGGTATTAACATTTAGTGAAGGATTTTTCTTTGGGTCATCTTTATTTTATTGATTGAGGAATGAAATAATGAAAAATCTAATGGTTCATAATGTCCCCTACCTCTATGCTTTGGATTTCGTTTTTCTTTTTGCATACTATACAATAGGGATGGAGTGAAATACAATTTTTAGACCGAAACTAAAATTAAATAATTTGTCAGGCTGAAAATTACTTTTTTTTTTCAACCTTTTTAAAAATATTTTTTAATTTTATTTATATATATTTTTTTACTTCACAATGCTTTTGGGAAATATCAGGGGTCTAAAAAGACCCCTTATATTTGCCTTTTAAAATAGAAAAAGAGATTTGAGGACACAGACTCCTAAATCTCTTTTTCAGCTGCCCCTGTTATGAATGAATAGGAAGCTTCTATACTGAGTGTTCCTGTCCATTCATAAAAGGCGATAGTACCAGTTACTATGGCCACCAGGGCTGCAGCTAACCATAATTTTCATAATGACTGGTTGCCTGATTATTTTTTTCAATCAATTGGTTGCATTTAAAAAAAATCTCTTCCTCTCTTCCTCTCTCCCCCTCTGTGCTCTCCCCTCCCTCTCCCCTAATCGTTAATTAGAATAGTTGCCGACTATGCTCATCAATTATTATTGATTTAATCGATTAGTTGTTGCAGCCCATGTCCACAATCAGGATGTAGAGCATTTTCTGTTCATTCATAACAGGGCACAGTTACTATGTCCCTATGTCCTCAGTCATTTGCAAACACTCAGTGATCAGTCCTGATCGGTGAGTGCTTGTGCTCCGCTCTCCATCCTGAGTGCTCCGCTTGTCACAGTAGGCCCAGCTTAGCTCCTGCACTGCCCCACTTGGCCTTCTGACAGCTATCTGCTCCTTGCACCGCCCTGCTCGGCCTCCTGACAGCTTCTCTCCTCCTCGTTGGGCACCTCTGCCTCTGCCCACACAGGATGTGGAGAACAGCGGGGATGGGAGGGGACACATCGGCTGGTGCCCAGCAGGGAGGAGAAAAGCTAGGGATGCACCACATTTATGTCCATTTTGGTCCTATCAGCATTTTGCCCATAGTAGCATTTTCTGCCAAAATGTTTTGTTGCATCCCCACTATTCATCACCCTTGCCTAACTTGTCAGTAACCCGCTTGTTTATGGAAACAAAATTCACATTGTATACTATTGAGCATTTATCTTTTTTCTTTCCACAGTTTTACAAGCATGTTGTTCAAAGTGTTGAGAAGTTTATACAAAAGGTAACTTTCATCTGTTGTATACAGTTAGAAAAAGTTTATAAGCATTTTAGAATTTTCTGAATATTGGTATGAGTGGCTCTTAAATGCGATCTGGGCTTCATCAAAACTATAATTATATATTTTAAATGGTTTTATGCATATTTAACAATAAAGCACACAATTTAGAGAGCTTTATCTGAATAGGTTTAAACAGTCAAATCTGTAATGGCAAAAATATGCAAAGTCCTTTAGATGCTAGCTAGAAATGCAGAATTTTTATTTGTTTTGTACAAAACTGTTAAAGTTCATGTTTTTGTGATGTGTGTGCATGAATAGTCTGCTTCAGATCTTTTCTTGGCATTTCTGTGGGATTGAGAACTATGGCTTTGGGAAGACTTTAATGTGCAATTGCTTCTTTTTGGGACACTCAGTCCTTGACTTCTGTTTTAGATCAGTCATTTTGTATGACCCACCTCGGAGACAGACATCCTGGCATTGTGTTGTATTCCTTGACACAGTTTTTGAAATTCATTTGTTTTTAATGCTTGTGAGTCTTAAGGTGCCCACACACCTTGCGATAATCGCAGGAAATCCCGCGATCGTACGATTATCGTAAGGTGTGTGGAAGCCGTGCGGCCTCTACTACTGTAAGGTCGCACAACTTTTATCTTAGGAACATGTTCGAAAACCCGCCGAGAAGCGTATGATTTTCGGCCCGGTGTGTAGCATGTTTGTAAGATAAAAGCCGGATGGGCCAATGTGCGCTAGCGCAAACTGCCCGTTTCGGCATTGCGGTCATCGGAAGCCCACCCCTCGGGGGTGCGGCTTGCAATCATCGCAAGTACGATCTGCCTGTCCAAGATAGGCAGATCGTACGTTTTTTTTTAATTACCTTACAACCATATGGTTGTAAGGTGTGTGCCCAGCCTTACAGACCTTAACACAGTAAAGCAACCCATACAATGAGAGCTTGTATTGAAGTCATTAGTCTGACCTCAGTTTAAGATCCTTCTGAGATCATTCAGAATTTATTGACTGGTGTATTTGACCTGTTTCGAGCAGGTTGCTGTAGTTTCCTGTCAGTGAACACAATCCGCCGAGAAGCGTATGATTTTCGGCCCGGTGTGTAGCATGTTTGTAAGATAAAAGCCGGATGGGCCAATGTGCGCTAGCGCAAACTGCCCGTTTCGGCATTGCGGTCATCGGAAGCCCACCCCTCGGGGGTGCGGCTTGCAATCATCGCAAGTACGATCTGCCTGTCCAAGATAGGCAGATCGTACGTTTTTTTTTAATTACCTTACAACCATATGGTTGTAAGGTGTGTGCCCAGCCTTACAGACCTTAACACAGTAAAGCAACCCATACAATGAGAGCTTGTATTGAAGTCATTAGTCTGACCTCAGTTTAAGATCCTTCTGAGATCATTCAGAATTTATTGACTGGTGTATTTGACCTGTTTCGAGCAGGTTGCTGTAGTTTCCTGTCAGTGAACACAACTTGTATCAATATCAGCTTTAGATAACAATAAGCAATGTATGTTTTTCTTTTCTTGCAAATCAAAAGCGCTCTGGTCCTGACATCCTGAAACATTTTGTCTATGCCCTTCTCGCCCTTCTCATTACATCTGCGCTTACTTATAGCTAGTATGAGTACCGATATTTTGCTTTCCGTTCGCGCCGATACCGAGTACCGGTGCTTCCGCTGGCATACAGCTGGCTTCCCGCGCAATCAGGAAGCCGGGCGGTGGGTAACGACATGCCACCTGGCTTCCTGATTGCCAGGGAAGCCACCTCCATGTTGTTTGGCTGGCTTGATTGTGATTGGCTGGGAAGCCGGTCTCCAGACCAATCAGCATGATGCTGGCTTCCCGGACAATGTGGAAGCCATGCGGCACATAATGACCCGCCTCCCTGCTTTTTGATTGGCCGGGTATCCGGCTCCATGCTGATTGGCTGGAAAGCAGGCTTTCCAGTCAATCAGCAGGTCATTACTCACCACCCAGCTTCCTGGTCGCACAGGAAGCTGGCTCCATTTTCTTGTACGGCACTGCCGGTCAAAGTAAATCTTCCTCTTAAGGGAAGTTCCGGTATCAGGGAAGGTATCAGAGCCCAAATACTCGGTATCGGTGCTACTTATAGCAGTTGGAATAGCTCATATTACAGCATGATTTCAGAGCTTTTTCCTTTCCTGGTTCAGACTTAGTCCACTTTTACATGCTGAGGAGTAGGAGGCTTAGCCACTTCCACATGTGCCAGTTGAGGTATGAAGACTACTTACACGTGAGGCTTTCACAGAAAGGACAGAATGTATTTTACAAAAATTGCTTCTCTGAAATTTCATTTAAGGTTATATCTCTATTTCAAATACAAAGGGGGCTTAACAAAGTTCCTCCTTAGGGTTCATTTTCTACCTTTTTATTTCACACTTTTAGAGCATCTTTTCACGAGCCTTCTTTTGTCTTTATTCTGTTACAGTGCAAACCAGAATACAAAGTTCCTGGACTGTATGTTATTGACTCCATTGTTCGACAATCTAGACATCAGTTTGGTCAAGATAAGGATGTTTTTGCACCAAGGTTCAGCAATAACATAATCAACACTTTCCAGAACTTATATCGATGTCCTACAGATGACAAGGTATAGGATGGATGAAGATGGAGTTTTGATGACTTTTTTTTTTTCTGTGATACTCAGCAAAACATACTTTGAGCAAGAATTCCCAAGTATTTCCATAAGACTATAACTTCAATATTGAAATGCTTAGAGATTAAAGGATACACACACACAAGGATACACACACACACACACACGTAAACAATTGTGCATACTAGTATCCTCTTCTCTGGCTAATATATAAAACAGCTCATTAATGTGCTCAGTGTGGAAGTATTGGAACCTATTGCTCTATTTCTAGCTTGTGATTAATGTTACACATGTAGTGAAAATGACACAGACAGCTTTGAATTTCTGACAAGATTGATGGTTATTTATTTTGCACTTATTGAGCAGATAAACCAAAACACTTTTAATGATCAAATATATTTAACAGACTAAAATAGAGCAAAGGAGAGAAGTTCATGGTCCCAGATTACATGCACTTTAGGGGATATAGAAAGCTGGCAGATGACTTTGCACACCGGACTTTAAAGGAGAACTATGGGGTTAGGGCTTTTCCCCATAGTTCTCCTTAGGGTAACGGGAGGACACAAACTAGCGTCCTCCCGTCACCCTAAGCTCAGTATACCGTGAGCCGCTGCTCGTGGTATACTGTGACGCCGCAGCGGATCCCGACATCGTTGTCGAGATCCGCCCAGCTGTGTGAGTGACAGCTGGCTCTGCCTATCTAGAGGCAGAGCCAGCTGTACCCGCCCACTCCCCCGTCCGTTCCGCCAGTCC